AATACAATTAATATGGCTTATTATTATTTTATTTTCTATATTTTGAACTGAAATTTCATCATTAAATCTTGTAATATAGTTTAGTTCTGCATAGTTTTTTTTCTCTCATTGTAAACTAATTCTGTAAATTGAACTGTCATTTAAAATTTTAAAAAAAGTTAATTGTTTTCCATGGTTAAGGTAATGCTCATTCTCTTAATAAATTAAGCATTGCTCATATTTTAAATTACAAGTCTAATTTTTCTTTTAAGGTTGTGCAGTTGTGTATAATGTAAATTAGACAGGTGCTTATTTTTTCCATAAAATGTGCTTGAAGGTGCTTATTTTTTTAACTAAAATGTGGCTACGAACCCTGTAACAAGAGTTACTACAATTTTAAAAAATAAATTAATATAAATTTTTACCATTGGATAAATTTATTTAATTTCAATAAATACTACGCAATATTAATAAATTAAAGTGAATATTGTTAAAAAACCTCGTTTACGTTCTTATTCAAGGTATTTTCTGCATTTCATGCCTTCATCCATTAATCATTTCACTAATTGCACCTGAAACGACAGAAATTTTTTAATCACCTTGACTTTTGTGACTAAAGTGTAAACGTAAAAAATTGAAAGAAATTTTTGAATAGATTTGATTTGAATGAAATCCCAATTTCATTCAAATCAAATCTAATCAAAAATCTTCCACTCACATTTAAAGAATTCTCTTAAACTGGAAACTTTCCTTGCTTTGGTCCATCATAACATGTTAACAGTTATCCAAAATTGGGCATGAGCTGTATAAGCTTCATCTGTTACTCGCTAATTCATATCTAAAATTCACTGCCGTTGAACAAAAGTCTTGGTCTAGACTTGAGAATGTGGTTAGCTGTCATAAAAACACCCTTGCATTTAAATTTGAAAAACTTCTTTTAGTCTTCCAATTTACAGTTCAGAAAAATCTTCCCACTGTAAATATTAAGCCAGTAGTTAATATTTCTAGTGTTAGTTTATCAGAACAAGAGAGAATTCTGAAATATAATTTTAAGTTCTCACAAACATCAAAACCCTCGATTCCAAAGATTTTGGCTCCTATCAATAAAATTTTCAAATTCAGTAAAGTTTGAGATGTACAGAAAGAAATTATTAGGCATCTTATCGCTCATAATGTGAAATTCAACAATAAGCCTTCAAAAACTAAATCTAAACGAGAGAGAAAGAGCTACAATGCACGAAATGGACAAAGGTGGCCAGATAGTCATCGTTGACAAGAACACTTACATTGAAGGTGTCCCTAAACTTTTAAACGAAGGACCATGAAATCCAATCTCTAAAGACCCTTCACCTTCGGACCTCTCAAAAATAAAAACTGGGTCCTATTCTGTTTTGAGGGCCGTAAGAAAATTGCAGCGAAAATGTATGCGCAAAAGCGCCAAATCTAGCAAACGCGCCCATTTAACAGCTCCAGATCTAGCGTACGCGCTGATTTCAGATTGCGTAAGTTTATACAGTTCTGTATTTCTTAAGATGCCATTGAAATACTAGTTTAATTTTTAAATCCTTTTTTGATGTCCTATGCATTTAACAATTTGGGAATTGCCCATGACGAAAAGTCGGCAATAGAATTTTGGGTCAAGTGCAGAATCACCCACTGCTTGACGCGTTCTTAAGAATTGCACATACTCGGTATCCATGTACACATCGACCTATTTTCACTTAAAAAAAGATTTGAGAATTGCACAAAAATGGCACTGCTCACACTCTTGACTTTATCTACGTACACATCGACCTATTTTCACTTAAAAAAAAATTCGAGAATTGCACAAAAATGGCACTGCGCACACCCTTGAATTTATCTATGTACACATCGACCTATTTTCACTTAAAGAGTAAAAGAGAATTGACATAAATCCAATTGTTTTTACCCTTGTAAAAAGCAGCAAATAAGTGAGCGATTCTGCACCGAGAATATTTTCAAAGAAAAGGCATCATTCATTATACAATATGTTTGAACAACCAACGAGATGAAATTATGCTTTAGCGATAAGTCGGTAAACGAAATAGCGATGCAGGCATCCATTCAGTTATGTTTAGCAATTTTTATATAAATTATAATAATGATCTGAAATAGTTATTTACTCTTATGCTTCCATTCAGTCATGTTTAGCCTTTTTCATATAAATTATAATAATAAAAAAGTATTATATGAAATGAACCTTTCATCTAAATTAAAACATCCATCTTAGATAGTTATTTACTATTATACTTCCTTTCTTGCCGCAATTCTTTTTGGCAGCATTGGCATCAACGATAATTTGGCGATTTTTTACGGTCCTCGAAACCGAATAGTACCAAAAACTGCAATCAAATCTTCACAAATCCTTTTTGCCAACTTAAAACAGTCGCTTATCCCATCTGTTGCGAATTGTGCCAGATTATATGTTCTTCGCAAAATTCATAAAAGTGGCATTCCTTTCTGCCCTTTTGTATCAAATTTAGGCACTGCGGTCATTAGCTAAATATATAGTTTCTAGATTTTTAGCTCTATTAGATAATAACATTTACACCATAAAAAATTCAATAGAGTTTGTAAAAAAAAATAAAAGCATTTCACCTAGAAACTTACTTATGGTTTCTTTTGATGTAAAATCATTATCTGGAACCAAAATTATTCAAAAAACATCATCCATTTGTGAATTAAATTTTCTAGAGGCCTTTCACATTCAAAAAAATCTTTCTGTTCTTGTTAATGACCCTAATTCCAATCCACCTTTGCCTTCAACCTTTAAGGAAATTATGTTTTAGTTCTCATTTCTTCAATAGCTGGTGCCAGTAGCTTAACCCCTGTTCAGCCATTATCTTATCTAATCACTATATTTTATCTTGTTCATTTGTGCTTTGGCAGCTGCGGATGATGGTTCTGTAAAACCATCGAAACTAGTCCTGTGAAAATTTGCAAATATAACGCTGCTTTTTGTTGTTTGACTTCTATATTAATACTTGTTCAGCATGTTAATTTATCTTAATTACCTTATATGCTGACTGAAGAAAGTAGCCGATTTTAATTCTGATTGTGAATTAATAGTTGTTGATAAAATATTTAGTTCATTGGATAAAGACGTGGCATCGCAAATTGGTATAAAACAGGGTGAGTCATTATTCAAGTCCCAAAAATTACAAAAAGAATGCAATACTTATTTTGTTTAGAGGAAAATTTTACAGTGAAACCAAAACTAATTTTAAAAAAAATTATTTGCAGATCAAATTTAATTTTCTAACTGTAATTCAAGAAAAATGCAGTTTGATAAACTAAATAATTTCTGATTCTCTAAGTAGTACAATACAACGGGGAATCTTAATTTAAAATGTTAAAATCAAACATTCATAAAAATAAGAACAATTCATTCATAAGTTAACTCTATTGATTTTTTTCAATAGACTTAAATTGATGGTCAAGAAACTAGGGTTTTGATTGATTGAGATGTGCAAGTCACAGTGTTAAATTATAATTTAGCACCCAAAAAAACTTTGCTTGAAAAAAAAATTAGTTTAAAGTTATTTTAATGAATGCATGAAAGCAGACGTGGCAAAATTCTAACTTTCACTCAGAGATAGTTCAAGTAAGCTGTGTTCGAGTCCTTTAGATTTTATGGCTGCAATTACAGATAAGCTGTCAGTTTCTTGCATGGTTTCTTCTTCTGCCTATGCTAAACTTTATATCCCAAAAAAATCTGAGGGCACTGGAAAGATGGAGCCCAAACTCGCTATGATAAGCAGAAATTTACTCACTTCTTCATCCAAGATGTTTATGGAAAGAACAACAGAGATAAGTGCGATTTTTGTTGATTACTATTTTACCTTATTTGCAAATTTCAGAAAGACAGAGAAAGACACTGCAAAGATAAAAGAGGAATATGCTAAGTGGGAACAAATTCAGCATCTTGAAACTAAGGTTTCAACCCTAAAACTTTGAACAAGAAATTTAGAGAAAATAACTCATCCACTGGATGTTATACTATGAGGGATTAAGGTGATTAAATAAAAAATTTAAGACAAGTTACAAAACTTCAGGCATCAGAAGGGCCTTTTTCAATCAGCCTTTTTCAATCAAACAGAAATTAGGGGGAAGAGCTCACTTACATGCCATCAAAAAGAAAAAAAAAAAAAAAATAATGACTTGCAGAATGATGTAAAACATAAAAAGCAAGGTATGTTAAAACTACAAGAACAGTGTGATATTCAACACTGCAAAAAAGGGCTCTTGAAACTGAGTTAAAGGTGATGAAATTGCAATTTGAAATGAATGAAAAATCTTTAAAAAAATCAGAAGTAATATAGAGAAACCAAATGCTGCGATTTCAAAACTGCAGAAAGAAGTAAAATCTGTAAATGATCATATAGAAAATAAGGACTAACTACTTTCAAATCAAGTCAGAATTATTGAAGAAATGAAAAAGGTTGCAGAGAGAATGAAGAAAGATACAACTGATGGTAACAAGAAGGCTAAGGATCCAACAGAATTGCGTCTTGTTTCAGAAATTTAAGAAACAAGAAAGCTTCAGTTGGGAAACTGTTTTAATTTTACTGTTTTATTACTATTGTTTTTCAGATATAATGTATGTGTTTTATTATTCCTGTATAGGCATAAGTTTAAATAATTTTTATATTCGTGAAGTGCCCGATCAGTGAGAACAGTGTTTGAGTAAGGATGGCCAGATGTGATAATTCTGTAAATTCTTTTCATAGAACTGTTTTATCTTATCTGCTAAATGTCTCTAGCATACAGATCTAAACTTCGCTGTTGTTTTTATTTGAATTAGAATTAGGATATTTTGAGACAGAAATGTGTGAATCAAAGCATGTTTGACATACTGTTTTAATTTAAGAATCTTTAGTTATTAGTAAATAAATGTTGCTTTTGGTCTTGTACTTTTATGAATGAATTAATTCAAAAATACACACCCCTGAGTTAGAATTCCTTTACCTATTTAAGTCACTTTTTTTTCCTTCTATAAGTTTCAGTAAAGCCAAAAACTAAAGCTGTGAGCAGATTAGAAATGCTAAAAAAGTGGAAAGAGGAAAAGTTATTAAAGAAGCAACTGGAAGCAAAACTAAAGAAGCCAGCATTTAAGATAGGGAAAACTGCTGTGCCTTTAAATCCTATATTCCATCCTTCGAGTAGCACACCGAAATTTAAGGTTAGTATTCCTCCTCCTCATTTCATCTGCTATTGTCAATCAATTTTGAAAATAAAAGTATATCTGTTGTTTTTTGCTACTATTGAATTTCCCAAGTTTATTTGAATTTAGTTTGTTCAGTATCTATATTATGCTGTACTGGAAATCAAATTTTCAAAGTTCAAATTAGATTTTTAATATAGTAGATATGAAAGTAAATACTAAAATTTTATTAGCAAAGTTAATATCAATTCTATGTGTAACTGATGATAAAAAAGGATACAAACTGATATATGTGAGCAGATGTTATGACAGATATAATAGTCATTCAATAGTATTCAACCAAAACAAATGTATTTGCAATATGTATTATCTCACAAATTGTGATGCTCTTGCTAAGCAGTCTGATTTAGTGCCAGTTATAGATAAGTGTGACATTATGACACACTCATAACATCTGCACTTTTGTTTAATAAGCCACTTTGTTAGTATTATTATTATTATAAACAAGGATATAAATTAATTGTTCTGTATTTTCCTTACATTTGGGGGGGGGAGAATCTGACATCTACAGAGCACCAGACAATGTACTATTTTTGAAACTGTGAGATCCTACCGTCAAAAAACTGTGCTTTAATAATGGTCATGATATGAACATCTAAATAGGGCCAACAAAACAGTAACTGATTGAAACAATTATCTGCAAAAAGTTTGTACACACAGTGTTCTAAACAGACCTTCCAACAAAGTTGTAGGGCCTAACAAAATGGTAGAAATTGATAAAAGCCATTTTACAAAGTGGGTCAATTGTTGTTAAATAAAAAGATGTAAATTCCTTCAGGATTCCATAAGAACGATTGACATGACTTTAGCAGGATCTCCACAAATTTTCATAGTTTGATGTTAGACAACTTTCAGGGTCAGTGGGATAATACAAAAGTATTATATTTACTGTTCTAAAACAAGAACAAAATCATAAGAAAAATTAAACCCATAATAAACTATTTTTAGTTTTTTTTATTGCATTGGTATGTTGGCATTATGTAAGATGCTGTTGCAAAATATACTTCATATGTATTGTGAATTGATGTATTTATCTAAAAGATTGTTTGGTAAATATTGCAACTATTTGACAAGCTAGAAATCTAGATGTGGCAACCAGTGCCACATTGATATTTATTTCTCTACTTTGCATATGGCATCTTGTATCATGATCAATAAAGTTGTGCTTGTGCTTAATTTGCAGATGTTCATATCTGGTAGCTGTCAGTTCATCCACTTGAACAACTGAAAATCTGGAAGAGAAAATTCCTGGATTGATGTTCATTCTTACCACTTCAAGATGAACATTAATTCAGGAATTTCATGATTACATTGCACCATTATTCATGATGCAATAATGACAGACTTTAAAATAAATGGAAAAAATAAAATTCTCTCTTTTTCTTGTAATACAGAAAATATGTACTTGACCTTCAGAAAAAGATTTAATAATCCAAATGTACAGTAGTCTTGGTTCACATGTCAGTAGCTCTTCAGTGTTTTAAAGCTGCTGCCTGCATTATATTAAATACGAGTTAGTACCAAATAGCCTTTTAGATAGGAAAGAAGGAAAACAAGAAATTGGTTGTTTAAGGCTGTGATAAACATAAACATATGGGTCAAACATAGCATTGTGGTGATAATTTTTGGTACTCTTCTGTTATCAGGACTGGATTCAGATATGTATGTATGTTTTGTAGGTATGTATACACACGCATACATACCTACAAAAATGTATGTATACAGACATGAACACATTCGTCCATACATGCATACATATATTTTTGATTCTGGTCCTGATAACAGAAAAGTACCGAATTTTTTCTAGCACTATATTTAGAGTTTACTTAAAAACATATACAGTACAAAGTCCGTAATCCGGACTCGTCGGGACTTCGATTCTGGATTAGGGATCATCAATTTAAATCTGGTAAGATGGCATGCAGAAATTATGCAATTAAAAATATGAAACCATAATTTATGAAATAAAGAGCAATTATGATCTAAAGGGTATCAAAATTTACAAAAAAAAAAAAAAAAAAGCTTAATATTTATTCGTTTACTTTATTAAACATTTCTTTCAATGTAAGTTATTTAAGATGCTTCCACAAAAAATTCAAAAAGTTTTCTTTTTTCTTGTGTCATCCAATGCTATACTCCTCGCATAATTTTGAGACGGATATGCCTTTGTCCATTTTTTGCAGCAATTCCACTTTTTGTTTGATGAACATAAAAACATGCTTTCGCTTTGCAGATTTTTTGGCAGCTCCAGAATTGGAAACTCTTTTTGACATAATCGAAAGTTCAAGCCTAATTTTTATAAAATTGCTCTAACAGTCTGCAAAAAATAATAAGCCGGATCCAATTAAAAGATTAATGAACAGCGCAATCTGCAACATTAACTGAAATGCCTTAGAGTCAGTAAAGATAATTTAGCCTAGCTTATACCAACCGTTATATATTCAACGTGCATGCATTAACACACTATGTGCATGCATAAAACATACCGAAAAAAAGTTTGCGGCTTTGAGGTCCGGATTATAAATCATTCTGGATAATAAATGTCCGGATTACGGACTTTGTACTGTATAAATAAATGCTTAAATTCTTTTAGATGAATGTTTTAATGTAACAGTGTAGTTTTTCTGCCTAAAATGATACTGAACCATGCAGCCATCAAACAGCAATTTCTTACTATCAACTTTAACGTCAATTTAGAGAAAATAGTACTTGTGTAGAGCTAAATTTAACTTTCACAGATTAGTAGTTAGCTGCTTACATTTCCAGTGTGTAACGATTATATGGAAGGGCTAAATATTGTTAAATTTAGTAACTAAAAATTTTAATAGTTTTGTTGTTATTGAATTACTTATAATATGGATTTTTTCCCCATATTTTCTGCTATAGGCATCATCCAGTTTGAAGTCAAATATGTCTATTAATTTGAATAATGGCATTTCTCAAATAAAGAGCAAAGTAAGTTTTATTATCTATTATGTTTTGTTTAATATATCAATGTTATCTATAAAACTAAACTCAGTGGCGTAACAGTCCTAGTGGGGTCAAGTCCAGCAGTGTCCTGAAATCTGCTTTCTTGACCGTGGGCCCCAGGGTGTGTAAGCATATGCCCTGAACAAGTGGTCAGCCTGTTGCAAGACCCCCAATGTTTAGTCCCCAAGCGAACTTGGTACTCATTTTATCGAACCAAAGGATGGAAATCAAGAGATGAAAGGCTGAGACGACCTTGCATAGCCCGGGGATCGAACCCCATACCTGTGGTGCTGCTGCGCTATGCACTAGTCACTGTGCCACTGGGCCTCTAACTATAAAACTGATGGGTTTAATATTTATAAAATTATTTGATAGCAATAAATCATGAATATTTTTTATAGTTCATGTTATTTTGTAAGAAACAAAAAAGCTTTTTCATGTAGCTCTTTTCATATAGGTATAATCACTATCAGTGTATACAGTTAATTTTTATGTACAACGCAAGCCCTTTAACCTTAAATAAGTTATATAATCTCATTTGTTTACTTTGTATGCAAAATATTTAAATAGTCTGTTTTGTATAATTTTAATACAATTTAAATTCTTTAATTGTTTTATTCAAATCCAGATTTTCTTGTTGTTTAGAGTGGCTTAGCAAACAAAATCATCATCTGAGTTCCATGTAATACAGGAAATATTATATGCTGTCCTTTTTGTTTTATAATTTTTACTAGTTAAGAACTGAGAGATAAAAATTACACATTTCTACAGGACTTTTTTAGCTTACACATTTGTGCCACCTACCGATCATATAGTAAGATTAGTTGCACCACTGGTTCAGCCATACCTTACAGCATTGCTAATGATCTTAGAGGCTGAACTGAGGTCTGGTGGGTTGAAACTCGTTTGAAAGCTAAATATACATGGAATCAAAGCCAGGGCAAGGATGCCGCACTTGCCTCTGGTAAATGGCCAAGAGCATGCCAAATTAGCTGCAAAATTTTAGAAATACTTTACAGGGTTCGTATGGTCCTTAAAAGTCCTTAGATTTTTTGGAACCAATTTTTGGTCCTTAAGAATCCTTAATTTTGGCCAAAATCATCAGAAAGTCCTTAATTTTAATCATCTGAAATTTCTGTCTGTTTTCACGATGGCCATTTTGAGTGTGAATTAGCATTTTATAGGAATATTTTTGGCGATTCACTGACTATATGGTTATCTTTGAATGGTTCATGGGTTAAATTGTTTCTATTCTAATATAAATGATGGACTCGTTTCTAAGCAAGAAGTGAACATAAGCATTCGAAATTCATTTTTTTCTCTTAAAAAAGGAAAACTTTTCCTTTTGGGATGGAATTCTTTTATTAACATTCTAATTTGGCGACTTACACATTTTGGGCGTTTAAGTCATTTCATAGAATTTATTCTGAATTTGAGAATTTTGCGAATTTTTTTTAAACCTCGTAACATTTATAATTTCATTAAATAATGGTAGAATGAATTATATTTAAAAAATAACATAAAATAAACATTTTATTTTTGCTTCAATTAAGAGTTTCATTTTGGCAACTTATTATACATACAGTCAAGTCGTTAATTCGGACACCCCTAACCGGAATGATCTTAATCCGACCTCAAGCTAAAATTCTGCGCATGCGCCGCTACATGCGTTTACGCGTGCGCGTAGACCTTGACTACTGGCATAGCTGTGCAAGTGCAGAAACGTTTCGCGTGCGCGTTTAATATAACGGACGGTATAAACTAAATTATCTAATTCTATTTCAGTTATGTTGATAATTGCGTTGTTCCTTAATCTTCGAATTGGATCCGGCTTATTATTTTTTGCAGACTGTAAGAGCAATTTTATAAAAGTAAGCTTGAACTTTCGATTATGTCAAATAGAATTTCCGATTCTGGAGCTCCCAAGGATCTAGAAAACGAAAGTATGTTCGATGTCCATTGAACAAAAAGTGGAATTGCTGCAAAAAATGGACAAAGGCATGAAGAAAGTGACGGAGAGGTGATTTGTTTCTCTAACCTTTCCGAAATCTGTTTATCAATTTCACCCTGCTCTGGGGGGGGGGGGATGAACTGGAAGTTGATCCTGTCAGCACTATCGTTATCTTCAGGGCAGATGTTTTTATTTTATTCTGACTTATAATTCCTTACTAAATGTAGTGTTTCATCTCGATGTCCTCCGATATAATTTAAATCAATTTCCTCGTCATCATTATAAATATCACGAATACACATCAAATAGTTTTTGGTTGCAATTTTCTATTTCGGCTATGCGTAAGGTATGCTTTACGCATCCGCGCGTTGAAAGAATGTTAATAAAGTAAACAAATAAATATTAAGCTCTTTTTTTTTTAAATTTGATACCCTTTAGATCATAATGCCATTATTTATAAATTACGGTTTCATATTTTAATTTATAATTTCTGCATGCCATCTTACCAGATTAAACTGATGATCTATAATCCGGAAAAATCGATAATCCGGAATCGCCGAAGTCCCGACAGTTCCGATTAAGACTTTTGACTGTATTTTGATCTGAAAAATAAACAGGTTTAATGCCTCTAAAGCACAATTTATGAAACAGCTCTTAGCAAAAGCAAAATTAGCTATGCAATTAAATTAAAAATGTCTTTTTAATTTTTCATAGTAAGAGTTTTTCCCATGTAATTGTCTCAGAATATGCATCAGTTTTCTCTATAAATTTAATTTTACACTTCTTCCCTCTTTTTGTTTTTCCAAAATATTTCAGGCTTTTTGCTGTTACAGAATTGGTAAGGATAATTTTTCTTTAGCATTTTAGACATTTCAGCTTGGAAAGTTTAGAAAGATTTGAAGGCAAGATTTATAGACCCACGATTCTAGAAGATTCGAGAAATATGTGACAAAATGAAAAATTGTCTCCATGGTATCAACAAGTAATGGATGTATTTTACGGAAAGTTTGCGATGAATTTCTTACTTTTTTGAAGAACGTTTGGAAGAACAAGGAAAACATAATATTTGACCCCTGATACTAGAATCTTTTTCTTAACATGTTTATCTTCCCTTTGTTTTCTCTACTTTTCACTAGACACATGCATGAAAATATCAAAAATGCTTCTAATCTTATCACATGGGCAAGTATTATAGAAGAGGATTTTTTATTAATAAAGAAATTGAAAACTTACAATTTAAAAAATTCATGTAATATGTCTTAATGCATCATACACAGAGCTGGCACTAGGCATTTTCTCACCTGATGTAATCTCTGTGTAATTCTGCTGCTTAGTGCCTTTCTAAATTCTCCTTCCAATGCCTGCTCTAAATTCTAAAAGTTTTGCTATTTCTAGATTTTAGATATATTCTAGATTTTGTTTTATGGTGTGTCACTAAAATTCTAAAAATTCTGCCACACCAGCTCTCTAACCGACCTTTACCATATGTATTTCATATTTCTTCTGAATGTTCATGTTACTAAAGAAATAAAATTAGCTACTTTTTCTATACATTCATTCTAAGTGCATTTAGTGTTTTTTAGAATAACAGAAATCTTTAATTAAATTCTAAAATGAAAAGAAAACATGCTGAAGAAAGAAACTGATTACATAAAGAAAATTATTCTTCAAAGATATGTGCAGTTATTATTATGTAAATTACCCAATTGTTTATGATTTCAGCCTTTACTGTAATTTCCCATTTCTATTTCCTCATATGATAAAGTTACTGAGCCAGATTCAATTTAAATTCAATTGTATATCTAAGTTCTTTTCAAATAAGAGGCTTATTTAAATCTTTGTCTGATATTGTTGTTACTTTCAGACATAACGATAGTTTGCTTGAAGTCTGTCGGGGGTTTTGGACTATTTAACTTTTCCCAGATCAAGTAAACCCTCATAGGTACATTGTGGAAAGGTTGACAAGTTAGGAGATAAAGCACTCGGAAACTAGCGAGAGTATTGGTTTGCATGTTGAGACATTTCTCTAATTGTTAGAAACGATGCTTAAAGAGAAGGAAATCGATTATAAACTAGCCAAAATGTTTAAAAGGGCTTCAAATTAAAATCACTGATAAATATTTTGTTGAGTGTTGTTACAAAACATAAATGTTTTGTATATATGTTACACATGTATGTTTTTGAATCCAGTCCCCTGATAACAGAAGAATAACAAAAATACTTGGACATGGGTCTACCTGCAGTATCAGCACATTGTGAAAAAATTTTTAGTCTTATGTCAGCTAAAAGGAAAAATGAAGGAAATGGGCATTCGGTTAAATTTATGAGAAACAAATTATTTATATATTTTAGTTTGGAGGAAAATTGTTCAAAATTTGTCAAAAATAAAGTGTTATGTACATTTTCTCAAGTCTGCCAAAAATCAGCAGAAATATAATATTAAAAATTAAAAGTTTAGTTTTAAATGTTACCAATATTGGTACTTTTCCGTTTCGCCGGCGCAAATCTCGCCAAGCAGACTTTATTGACAACATACAGAATACACATAAAAAAGGCTAACAAATGTTAGTTCTAAGAATGTTTTATTTTGAAGGCATAAACATTTTAATATCATATTAAATTTTGTAAAAAATCCAATAAATAAAGGCAATAAATTTATAAAAAGCTATTAATTTAAGAATTTATTATGCTTTCATGGTTCAACATCCTGATTCGCCTTTTCATATCACGTGACCCCAAGTGATTTCATCTCATGTAAACTACGCTACAAAAATCTAATTCCCTACGTTAATTTCAAGCTTAATTTGAATACAAGTTTAATGCAAGAATTATTTCAGTTCGTACGAATAGCTTACTCAGAACTTATATAAAACCACAGTGCTTTAACTCCATAGTGCATTCTCATTAGAAGGGATGAATTTAACCCTTGACTTTGACTTTCCTATACTTTCGCCTTCTGGTGAGCTGTGTGATTGCATCCTAATTGACTTAATTATAGCGAATGGCTATGGGGCATAAAATTAAACTATCTGGTAAAAATTCTGTGTAACTGTATGCCAGTATTAAAAGAAACAATCAATGTGATAAGAAATGGCTGCAAATTGTTTTGAAAATGAGGCGTAAAAGGTTGCCAGCGAGGATATTACGTTTGGCATCAGTTGTATCATTATTGGCGACTTTAATCCCTGCTCCAGCAAAACGGAATGTACCCCAATATTTATATTTGTGGTTAATGAGTCGATATATCATTACCTAAAATACTGAGGTAAAACTTTTTTTTGATTGCTTTCGAAGTTTTAAGAAATTGTTGTTCACATGAACATTAATTCTAAAATTGTGTTCCAATAATTTTAAATTATTATAATAAAAGAATTAATATATTTTGTAGTGTCACTTATTATACCTTGACAGAGTTGGCAGCCTTAGTCATAAACCACACATGACTGAAACTCCAAATATTAAATTGTGAATATGTTGACAAAGCCGCATTTCAATCTGCAATGTTATAATCTGATTAATTATTATTTTTTTAACTACTTATAGATACCTTCAGCTCCAGGTTTTAAACAGTCAGCTTCAAAAACAGGCATTCCTAAACCAGGCAAACAGGTGTGTTTTACAAATTTTATAAAATTGTCATGTCTATTCTATTGCCTTTTTTTCCTTGAATATTTGCTATATAATAAATATTTTTATAAATCATCATCACATTTATCATGTACTCACTTCTAAAAGATCTTTTTCTCTATAGCATTAATTTGGCAACTAATATGTATTCCTATACATGTTTAATTTTCTCCTTCAAATTAAAAAGTATTCAGTTCATGTTCCTAACTTAATATATTTAGTTTATGCAAGTCTGTTGCTTCTAAATGATATAGTTGCTTTTTATTTTGGGCTAAGAATCTGTGTATTGTAAATTAGGATATACAAGCATCCCCTGTGTACTCAACAGGTTAGAAATTAGAATGCATCCAGAAGCCAAAAAATCATTAAATTAAAAATCTAGTTCTAAGCATTTTAACATGTAACTGAATTTTCTTGCGAAAAATTTAGCATAGTTCACTGTGTATGTAGAAATTCTGTATTTAAAAAAAAAAAAAAAAAAAAAAAGTATTTTCCTTTTAAGTAAGCAAAACACAGGGTTCGTAGCGGTCCTTATAAGTGCTTATAAGTCCTTATATTTGAAAATAAAATATAAAGGCCCTTATAGGTGCTTACTTTTTCTTTAAAGCCCTTATTTTTTTGTTTTTAGTGCTTATTTTTTTGCTTTCAGTGCTTTTTTTTTTAAATGAAAGCACAATTTTTCCTCCTACCAAAGCCAAAACTAAATAAACAACTTTTCTTCCTAATATGGAATGTCAGATGGTGAATCATACTCCCGGAAATAGCTTTCCCCCCTTTTTCTGCATTAACATAACCTTTGGTCTGCACGGACAGACAGGTGTCCGTCGTTCTGTTGGTCAAAGAATTGCGAAAGCAGTTGAAAATTCCGGTATATTCGGCATTCTTTTCCTCCCACCCAAATACTACACACGTTTGAATTTCTATCAAGATCTTAATAATTTGCATTCTCGTTCCGCTTGGTCAGTTCATATTTGTGTTTATTATGATCGTTGTGCTTATATTATGAGCATATGTATCGATGTTTATAATAACTAGTTGCAGTAACTGCTGAAGTATAGTAAACTTCCAAAATGGTTGTGTTTTAACACAGATTAGCTTTCTAAGGAATAATATTCGGAATGGCTTAAATAAAGGGAAAGTAATTTAATAGTCAAATAATTTCATTTCTTTGGGGCCAATACATTATACAGTACGAATGTTGAGGAGGTTCTCCCCTTTTTCCGCAAAATCTTCGAATATTGAAACTGTTATAGTTCGCTGCAAAGCAAGCAACAGACTTTTTTTTTTGTTTTTTTTTTTAATGTCACTTTCCAATCTGGATTTGAATAGGACTAAAAGTTCTACGCGATCTACCAACCCAAGCGAAGGAATGATTCTATTGCTAGAAATTTAGTGCAGTCTGTTGAAAATCAGAATGAAAAACATCCCAGATCTGTTAAGTCTTTCTTTTCCTTTCTTTAGTTCTTTATTCTCCCAATACCGGCAGCTGTTGAATCCGATTGCGTAATATCATGTAGGGAAGAATTACGGCGCATGTATTGCGCAATAACGTTTGCGATATTTTGCAGAGATAATTAATTTTGATGTTCAGTCCCAGATTTGTTTATGAACACTTAAAAGAGTTTTTCTGTGCTTGCAGAGCAGAATATTTTTTTGTTATATCGAAATGTCAAAAGCATTTATTTAGCGGGAAAATCTAAAGAACGGCTACAGTCGATTCCTCTCCGCTCCGCTGTCCGAATGTTCACCAATTTTCAAGTATGCGGGTAGGTAAGCTTTTACTGTTGAAGGATGACTGCATGAAGCAAATTTCTGTCTTCTGATTTCAGAAATGTTCCTCTTTTTTATTTAAATTACTTTGCTTGCAATATCTGTTAAGGGAAAACTGATATACGATGAAAATTTAGAAAATGTTTAGAATTTAGATTTAAATTAGTTAAATATCAATAAGAGTGGAAAAATAAATTGTATTTATTATTAAGTTCCAAGCGAATAGAATAAATATACCTTATTATTATTTATTTCCTCTATTTTGAACTGAAATTTCATCATTAAATCTTGTAATATAGTTTAGTTCTGCATAGTTTTTTTTTCTCTCATTGTAAACTAGTTCTGTAAATTGAATTGTTATTTAAAATTTAAAAAAAAAAAAAAAGTAATTATTTTCCATGGTTGAGGTAATGCTTATTCTCTCTTAATAAATACTGCATTTCTCATATTTTAAATTACGAGTCTAATTTTTAAGGTTATGCAGTTGTGTATAATGCAATTAAACGGGTGCTTATTTTTTTTCTTAAAATGTGCTTGAAAATTGCTTATAGGTGCTTATTTTTTTAACTAAAATGTGGTTATGAACCCTGAAAACATGAAGTAAATTATGAAAAAAGAAAAAATAAGTTTCACATCATTTTGTGATTTGAAACTGCAATGTCTGTATCCCTACGATATAATTTACATCCTTCAAAATAATGATTTTTCACAGCTGTATTCTTTTGCCAGTGTTTGCAAACATCTCCAAAGCACATCTGGTACATATTCTCCAAGGTTTTACTGTGCTTCGACACTGAAAAGTGAGAACTCGTAATTCAACATGATTTCAAGAAATGTTCGGAAATTACATAATACTAATATGAATAAGAACTTCTGTGTGACAAGAAATCTGAATACTGTTGCATGACATGATTGACCACAAATCATTCCTCGGAGAGCAATTCATAAGTAGAACTGTGTCATGTAATAATACTTGAAGTTAACAATCCAAAGTTGGGATTTACTTCTTTAGCAGAACATTATGTTTCGAAAAGATTTAAAAAAAAAAAAAAAAAAAAAAAAAAAAAAAAACCAGTTTGAGGATTAAGCCAAACAATTATCCTTTGATACTTTTAGTGTGACTACACTTTCCAGCTCTTTGTGGAATTAAATTTCTGTATTCCTAGAGATAATGTCAATTTCTTTGTAACTGATGCTCACTTATTCATAATCTTTAATGCAAGTGTTGCCAATGTTAATGGCACTTCAAAAGCTTTGAATATTTTTTTGTCATAACTTGCTTCAATGCTTTGTAAGTTTCTATTGGACAATTGTCTACTTTAACAGAGATGTACTTGACAGCAAGTGCTGTTTTTTATGTATTGTCAACACCGAATGCCCAATTTAAAATCTCCAGATGTATTTAATGACTAAGTAACATATTTAGAAAAAAGTACTTCACTACTTGAGAAAAAATACTTAAATATTTTTTTTAAAAAAAAGAGCATTAAGCTGCAACTCACTTAAGGATTTAGATTTAATTTTATACATTATACACTTCTAAGTTCCCAAATCTGGAAATAGTACTATGAATTTTGACTGTTAATAAAAGATTTTAAAAAGCAGATTATCAGCAAGTAGGGGATACTTGTATTACTAATTTATAACTCTGTAATTATACTGAAAGTATAAAAAAAATTCTGTTTATATTTTTAACAGATCTCTCACGTTACTCCAAAATGCAAACCTTCTCTTCAATCAAGCAAGCCTGTTCAACAAGTATATGGAATTTTGATTTGAAGTTATAAAATTTTAGTTCTCAATTTTACTTATTTGTGATAATTTCTAAATTTCTCTAGGAAAGCAATTAAATTGTTAAAAAGTTATTAGTTAATTTTAAGTAGTTGCTCAACAAATGAGCAATTACTCTAGCAGTAAAGGATTATTACGACTATCTAGTAATAATATTTTAAAACTTTCTAATGTATTTTTGAAAATTTTTATTAAACATAAAGTGTATTTCAAAACCTTTCAGTGTTAAATGCACAAAATTTTCTTTGCATATTTATGATCTTAAATGCATGCAACTCAGAAAATTTATTACTATGAATGCAAAGCTACCAAATTAAGATTTTAATTTGATGGTTTAGGTAAGTAATGCTTGTAAAAACTAAGTAAATGAACCAAACTGGATGAGAATCAGCTATTATTTGCTATCAGTAATAGTATCTCATTTACTAAAAGTTTCAGATGTAGCAGTCATTGTTATTCATAATAAAACAAGTGAAAATATGTGGTATAAATTTTTATTGCACCTTTTAAATGGCTCATTGTTTTAATTAAAGATAGAAAACAATGTATGATGCAATTCAGTGCTTTTCATTATTTGTGAGACTGCACTCAGGGAATTCTCATTTTATAAGATGGAGCTTGTTCCCAATAAATCACTCATAAATACCTTTCCAGCTTCTTTTTTTAGCTCATATATTAATTTAACGTAAGTTTATGATTATTCATATTTAGTTATTTATAGATAAACATAAAGAATATCCACTTGTGTATGTAAAGTGGCATGTTGAAAAATATATAAAATTGTGTTTATAGTAAGAACCAATCCTTAGTCAAATCAAACCTTGCAGTTTCTTCAGGCCAACATCATTAAATTAATTTGAGTTGATTTTCTTTAATATATCTCAGCCAACTGAGTATGAGTAGATCCAAAATGCTTTGCTGCTTAGAAGACTAAAGAATGGTGCAAGTATGAAAATAAAGGATGGTGTCATGACAAATACTCTTGACACTCAACTCATGACAAATACACTTAACTCGGATATTGTGCAAGCATTCTGTGCCTGAGTTTTATTACGCATTCATAAGTGTTATTCTCTTTGATATATTTTTACCATAAAATAATTACTTATGAAAGATGCTTAGTAAATCTAAATGGCAAATTCCAGAAGCTCTTGCAAGGTCTGCATAACAGATGCCAAGACCTTATATCAGGCTGTCACTTGATGTTTGAGATTCACTCTCTAAGCCTTCACCCATCATTTTAACACTGTCTCAAATTGGTTAACATAAGTATTAATAATTAATTATGGATAATCATAAAGACCACAAATATGTGATGTGGCATGTTTAATAAATAAAATTATATTTAAGTTAGTCATCAATCACTAGTTAAATAAAATTCTGTAGTAACTGAGGTTAAAAGGTAAGCAAATGTAGAAGTGTATTCAGTTATATTGATGGCTTGATTATAATTCTCATCTGGAACATCAGCTTTTAAATTAAGTGTTGAATTTTTTTGATTTTGCGACTATTATTGCTACAAAGGGAAAATTTTGAGAAAGTTACAAGCCTGCTAGAGCTTGCTTTATTTTTATAAATGAAAGTTATTTTCTCATGCAGATGAATAAAAAATTACTTTCTGCTGGTACATAATTAAAATATTCATTGTAATATTCACATTCTTTCTTTCTCCTGGGAAAAAGTGTATTGGTTGAGTGTAGCCAATCAAACAAGAAAAATATGTGTCTGTAATTTGTCCTTTTTAAAGCCAGATTGATTATTCTTTGTACATGTAATATAGGAAGAAATGACTTAGGAGTTTTTAATTTGATTTTTTTCCTCTTTAGTTCAAATTGAATAATAGTCAAAATCTCTATGCTTAGTTGTATGATCATATGAATATTGTGCAGTGTATACTTATTAAAATAAAAAAATTTGCAAGTTTTACATAATTGTTATACTTTTCTTGCTTTCCTTATTTATTTAATTTTTGACATATTTCTAAACTTTTGTATTATATTTTTTAAACACATTTTTATGTATGTCTACAGCAATGGAATCCCATTTATCTGAATAAAATGAGGCTAAACTGTTTCAGATAATTCATTCTAATTATTTTTAGCATTTAAATATAGAAATAAATGTTTATAGCAATTTTAAGCAAAAGTCTGTATTACATTGTATATGTATGCAGTAAACCTTTGCCAAATGTGGGGGCTACATATTATGCGTGTAGCAAAGTTAGTTCTGCAAAGTTAAACTTTATATGGAAGAACATGAGTTAGGTATAGTTCAAATTAAAAGAAATGAAACAATTGTTAATTTTAAGGATTTCTATTACTGCTTAGTAAGTAAGAAAATGATACAGTAATTTATTACAATTATATATATATTTTAAATAGCTAGTGATTTTTGCTTGGACAATGTCTGACACAATTCACCAACAAATGCAAATTTTTCAATACCTCTCATAAAATGTCTTTCTTCATTTGGGTCAATCCTCATAACCAAATCAGACAGTTCTGATGACTTTTTTAACATTCATTTAACTTCTGTCATGTTAAGGATGTTTATCTTATTCTATTAAAAGCTACAAAATGTTTTGTAGCTTTTAATGTGTAATTATCCTAATATTGGTTAAGACACAATGTCATAAATTACATGTTTTTTAAACTGTGAAATTTTATTAGATTGTGATTTTAATAGGGCTTTTTAACAAATATTGTTAAAAAATAAGTAAAATTCAATAGTGGCCATGTAAAACCAGAATGATTAAGGTTATCTAATCATGTAATTTATTTATTTATAACTAACTGCTTACCTTTAAAAATTATCTCTGCATATTAAAGGGAGTTATTGCCTTTCATTAATCCTTACCATAATCACAAGATAAAATACAAAAATGTAAAAATTCAGATAAAACTTATTCTTTACATTTAGTGAGACTTTTATCACCTCTTGGGCTTTAGTGGCTTTTCGAACCTTAAAGTTTATTAACTGGGTTACAATCTCTGGAAATCTGCATAAAGCTACAACACTAACTGCATCAGACAGAGCCTAACTAACTTTCAAAACATGCCAACAGTGTATACATCAGGTCATTCAGATTTGTTCTGATCAGCAGGTCTCTCTCTAAGCAAGCAGCAGTGGCGACAACAGTCAGTCTTTTGTTGAGTCATGCTGGCTGTGATTTTACTTCTTATTTTAACCTATGTCACTTGACATAAAATCCACCTGCTATTTACTAAACCTCTAGACTGAACAAGTATGTGACAAAATGAGACATAAAAAAAATTGACATAAACATAAATAAAATGTCACTTATTTTTTTTCAAATATGTCCAACTATTATAAGTTTAAAACATTTCATGCTACTTGATAAATTTATAAAGTTTATTTTATTCTCAAACTTATTAATAATTATGTTAATCAAGTTATGTTTAATAATAATGTATTATCCTACTTATGGATCTATTTATTTTTAGGATGGTATTACAAAAGTGAAGTTCAGGCATAGATAATATTTTTAATTGAATTTATTCAGTTCCCATTTGTTCATAGGTCCTTATTTTTTTTTTCATAAATTGTCCTTAAAGGTACTTAATTTCTGTGTGCAAAAATGTTTATGAACCCTGTGTGTATAAATGCTTTTAAATGTGAGCTTAGATGATCAACATCATGAGTACCAGATACCTGGCAAAAATAGCCTGATCCCATATCTAACATATGAATGTTGAAGGCATAAATGAATGGCATATATGATGATGATGATGATAAGCAACATTATTACTGATCATGGGAATATGTAAAGATCCCAAAATATTAATAGAACATACTATTTTGGGTAGGAGGAGCCATACAGAACTATTACCAAGTAAGAGTTATGGGTCAGAAAATGATAAGGTGATTAGAGAATATAAATATTTTAAAAACTGTAGTATTTTGGAGGAGAGTCTTTTTGGAAGAAACAATGTATAAAGGGGCAGATGATTGATATTGGGACTCATTAATTCAGTGTTATGATTTCAAATAAGCAATCTTTGGTTAAATTTTTATTTCAAATTTTTATTGTTGATGTATTGTATCTCTTATAGATTTTTCTATATATAAGTGAAGAGAGCTAAGTTACTGCACTGAGGAGTTAAAACTGCTTTTAAAATGTATGCATCATTCTCTACTGTTATATATATATATATATATATATATATATATATTTTTTTTCTAAATAGGTTTCAAGATTAACTTTAAAATCAAAGCAGTACAAAACATGAATTTAAATCTAAGCTGCAGGTAAATTTATTTCATTAATTATATATATAGCGTTGAAAAGAATACAACACCATATAAATTTACCAAAAGTGGTAAGCTATCTATGCAGCTATGAAGAGAGCACAAAACAAAAAGCAACATGAAGCATAAATTTTGAAATTAGTTCTGAAACAGAATCAAATTTTAAAAAAATCTGAAAGCTTTCAGATTTTATATTACGCCCAAAGGGGTGTTTTTTTAACATTTTGTGTAGATACATTTTGTTTTTTTTTTAACATACTTTTTACATTTTGTGTAGAACATGATATTATTTATTAAATATCGTGTTCTTCGCACTTAAACCATAAAATTCGATTCAACAGCAATATTGCAAAATAATTTTAAAATTAGCATATCTTTAGGATTTCCAATACAGTCTCGTGAGCTGGAGATAAAAATGCCCCCCCTCCCTGTATAGTGTTTCCATTTCTTGCTTTGAAATCATTGAGTTTGTTAATGAAAAATTCTTTAATTTCTGACAAAATATGAAATAGATCACAATTAGGGCTTCCAGTTGCCCATATTTGGAAGAGGATTATGTTATTCAAAATTTGATGGCTCTAGGTACTGTTGTTTTATCACAATGTGAGAAACATACATGCAGATTCTTCATTATTTAATTTCTTTAAATATAATACAGGGCTGTATTTGTGGCAATAGTTTAAAAAATGAACCAACAT